GGGGGAGGCAGTGGAAGAAAGACAGATATGGACTGGATCCTTTCTTGTGTGAGGTCTTACTTGACTTTCTCCGTCCTCTTGTACCTCCAGGGCGTCGAGGGGAGAATGAGCTTCCTGTCTCTAGCAAGTTTGATGGCCTGGCTGGGTGGGATATTGTACGTTCTCAGGGTATCCTTCACACCCTGGGTCCAGATCTCTCTTGGTCTTCCTCTTGCCTTGTACCCTGATACTTTCCTGTAGTAGGCTTTACTGTGTGAGGTCAGGAAGGAGAAAAGTGAGCTCTATAACACTGATCTTCCAGATCGGACGACTCTGGAACAGCAGGGGGAAAAGGTAAAAGGAACTGACCTCACCATCCATCAGCCAGAGTCAAGCAGGGTTTTGAACTCAAACCTAACAAAATAGACCGGCTTCCAGTTGTGTTGTATGTGTTATTTATAGCGCTAGACGGGGACGATAAAGAATTCTGTTGAACAGTTTAGACTAGAGGCTTTGTCACATGTATACGAAGGTGTTTGTATTCAAATCTAGTATCATACATGTATCGCTCTGTGGTAAATTAGTTGTAAACGAAAAGATTTTATCGGAATGTCTCAACTCAGCTGTCAGTGTTTATGTTTGGTAGAATGAATATTTTATTAATAATCTTGTACTGGCATCGTAACCATGTATGTTCAGTCGCTGCAGCTTCTTGATGTTTGTTTGTCAACTCCACCACGTTACGATACTGCTGTGAATTAAATGCCCAAAGTACCCAGCACCTGTTTTTGTGTGTGTTATTTATGAATAAAGTTGAGAGTTGAGATGCAAAAACACGACCCTAGGGGCCTACTGCACCGTGTCGTGTGTGGAAGCTTTGACCCCAGACCTAACAACATAAACGTTTACCTTGCTAGGTCTCTGCTTTCACTTTCCTCCAGATGTGCAACGCACCGGGTGATCTTGATACACAACTTCACCATTGACGATCAATTAAAAAATAAAATAATTTGCTAAAATTTACATTTACATAGTATCGTATCAAACCCTAAGAAATCATATCATATCCCAATAGAAAGAGCAGTGGGGCTGGCCTAACACAGAAAACTGTACC